TCTTCAATGAATAACTACTCACTTAAAATTAAATGACCTTTCTTTATTTTTAATTTTAATTTGGGTGAAAGTTTACAGAGCTAATTAAGTTTCCATACAAGGTTTTGTTGACATTGATTACAATCCCCACAATTTAAGAACCCTCTTACCACTTCCTCCCTGTGGCTACCTTTTCCCTGTGTCCTCCTTTCCTTCACATTCCTGCTGTCTGAGCTATCTCCCTGTGCAAATACTGCCCTCCTGATTTCCCCTGATTGATTTCTCTAAGAGGGTACCTTCCTGGTTTAAATGTTCACCCTATATACCCAGAAGCCACGGGAGTGAGTTCAATTCCAGGCATTAAGGGTGACTAGGGGCTATAGTCTCAGCGGTTTCACTGGTCTTATTTTTATGATTTTGAATTTTGTTCCACTGTATCCAGGATCTCCTATGTTGATCCCTTTCCAAGCAGTTCACAGTGGTAGCCAGGCACCATCTAGTTATGGTCTTAGGGTCATGTAGGCTGAGGTCTAGTCCCTTGGACTAATTGTTTGCATGAATCTTTGATTTTCTTTATTCTTCTTTGCTCCAGAGGAAAGACCAACTATTGCATCTTAGATGCAAGCTTTTAAGACCCCAGTTGCTACTCACCAAAGTAGGATGTAGAGCAATGTTTTAAGCAGTATGTTATGCCAGTGGAGCCCATAGGCCCAGCAGCTCACTCCCTCAGGATGGTTGGCTGTGACTAAGAAGTTATTGTAACTTTGCCCCCTGTTAGCTCTGTTATCTATATGGACATTCTTATAGCACATACAAATATGTATGTAGAACTATTGTCTGCCAAACTTACATATGGTCATGGGTATATTCCCTTTTGCCTAGACATACCTGAGAATTTAGTCCATCTACCTACGTATCCACCCATAGATTAATATTTATTATTACTGATAATGCAGTATATGTAAAAATGTTTCTTTGTTGTCTGTACCAATTCAATGACCTTTAAATGTTAGTCTCATTTTACATTTGAGAGAAATTAAAGAAACTCAACCAAAGTAACAGACAGAGCAAGGATTTGGTCCAGGTTTATCTGGTCCTATTATAGAGCACTTCTGTAGTGATACCGCCTCGGAAACCCAAGGAGGGTTCGCTATGAGTCAGATCGGACTCGATGGCAGAGAGTTTGGTTTTGGTACAGCATGCTCAACACTGAGCACATAAGCTGTCTCCACCTAGAGGTGATGATAAAGCAGTGTTTTAGTCTCTTTACTGCCTGCATTCACCATCTTATTTACCATACTTGTAAGAGGGCACAACACAATCAGAGCACACAGAGAGGTGGAAATAAAACTTATCACATTATACCTGAGAGATACAGTTTAGTCAGAGTATTAGATGGTCCTGGCTTTTCAGATAGAACATTGAAAGTGGAAAATTCTAAGCTGTTACACTGTTCTCCAGAGTCGTTGGTAGCCGCCCATGCTAAATAAGATAATTCCCCAGCAAGTCCATTAGTCCTCCTCTTTGTTTGCTGCTGGCTGACAGGTGAGGTAGGCTCCTTCAGCTTGCCAGAGGTCTCTATATCCCACTGTTCATGTCTTTCTTTATTTGCTAACCTGTTCCTGTGATTTTCTGCTTTAAACTTTGGTCACTGGTCTAATTAAGTACCTAATTCAAATATTTAGATTGCCTAAATGCATACCTATATTTGATATGCCATAGGCAAATTATGGTAAATTTCAAATATATGTATTTTCGAAATGCTATCTCTTAAAGATTATAATATTCAAATACATGGCATCCTTATATGGAGAAAATACAAAGAACATGAAGAGAATTTTCATTTTTAAGTGTTTAAGTGTTTCTCCCACTTTTTACTAAACTATTTCAAGTGGTGTAAGAGTGGGGCTAAGGAGACTCTTGCTTTGAGTGTTAAATGTATCAGCATGCCTTGGGTGAACATGCAAAATCGTTTACCAGTGCAGACAGTGGCTGGTGAAGAGGGGAGAAGCTGCTCTGGGGGAAAAAATATATTTTCTCATATTCTTGTGTAGTACTGCTAAGAAGTTGACGTGATTCTTCTTCTTCTTACTGTTTTTTGATTGTGCTTTAGGTGCAAGTTTACAGAGCAGAGTTTTTTTACATTCAACATTACATGTACATTTAATTTCATTCCCCATTTACCATCCCCAACCCTAACCCAGTCTCCTCCCCTCCCTGCCCAGTAACCTTCCTCCCCCACGTCCTTCGCAGTTATGCACTCCTGTGTGTCCTGCGTTTCCTCCATGCGAATGGGTTGCCCCTCTGGTGCCCCATGTTCGATTGCTCCAAGGTATGCATTTCCATAGAGTATATGGGTGCATCACCCTGGGTTGAGTGGTCTGCATGTACATCTTGTTTACTATTGGGTTGAGAGCCAGCCCTTGGGAGTAAGTTTTATTCCAGGCCCAGAATGTATCCCAGAGCCATAGTATTAGGGATATCACTAGACTCCATCTGACCAGTAATTCTGGTCATTATTGAGGGTTTTTTTTTTTTTTTTTTTTTTTAATTTTGTTCCGTATTTTTTCCTCCCACTCTATCCAGAATCTCCAGATTTGATCCTTTCCTGAGTGGTTGGCCTTGGTATCTGGGTAACATCTAATTCTTCTGGTTTTGAGGGCCATCATGTCCTAGGGCTGATTGCTTCCAAATGCTCTTTTTTTTTTTTTTTTTTTTGGCACTCTTCTTTGCTTCTGATGATAGGAGACCATTAGCTGCATCTTAGATGGTCGCTTGAAAACTTTTAAGACCCTAGCCGCTATGTAGGATGAGGAAGAAGACTTTTGTTGACATGATTCTTAAATAGACTGTTTATCCATTCCTCTGAACAGGAGGATTTGTAAGAATTATACTTTCTTTCAGCATCTAAGGGCATTTTCCATTCTTTCCAACTTACTTAGAAATTGCGGTATCTGTTTTATTGATACAGAACATAAGAAAGGCAAATAAACAGTTTAATTAGTTCAAGTCAATCAGGATTCTGTAGTGTACTTTTCTAGTATTTGTTCCCTTTAGCTCAGTTTTCAAATAGCAAGGGCTCAAATACATAAAAAAGCAGATCTTCATAGGACCCAAGACCAGCTAGATGATGAAATTTGTTGGTAGGAGGGAATTTCAAGGATATAGCCTCAGGAATGACACTTAAGAAATTTAGCTTATCCTTTTCAGTATTTTTAAATACATGTATGTATTTTAACTGGTGATTTATTTGGATTAAGATTTGCATCTTAGAGCCTGAGTTATCAGTAATATAGGAAGACAGAAGAGTGACCAATATGAAAAGTCAAGAGATGGTTAAAGAACGATGTTTGAATGAGGTAAGAAATAAAAAAAGATAACTTTTAGTTAGATTTTCTATTTCAGGTGAAGCAGATCCCAAAAGACTCCCTATGAATCACTGAAAACAGGCAACAGGGAAAAGTACATTCCCAGGAATGGGAAATGTACATGCTTGGTTGTGATCAGTAGTTACAGAGTGCCTTCCCAAGAATCAGGAAATGAAGACAAACAAACAAAAAACACCTCACTGCCATCAAGTCAATTCCAGCTCATAGTGACCTCCATTGGGTTTCCAAGGCTGTAAATCTTTACAGAAGCAGACTGCCCTGTCTTTCTTCTGCAGAGTGACTGGTGGGTTTGAACTACTGCCCTTTTGGTTAGGAGACAAATGCTTAACCACTATACCACCAGATCTCCTAAGAATTGGGGAGGATATCAATAAAAATGTATTTATGATAAAATAGTGTGTTGAAGTTGCAAGGATGATTTAAAGATATGCCTCACTAAACAACAAATATGAAAATTAAAACAATCCAATAATAATAATATAAATTGCTATTTACAGAACATTTTCTATGCTTTAAGGAGCTCTAGTAGTGTAGTGGTTAAGACATTTGGCTGCTAACCAAAAGGTTGGTGGTTCAAACCCGCCAGCCACTTTATAGAAGAAAGATGGGGCAATCTGCTTTCATAAAGATTTATAGCTTTGGAAATGCAATGGAGGTCACTATGAGCTGGACTCATCTCGATGGCAGTGAGTTTGCTTTTGGTTTCTATGCATTAGATGCCCATATATGGCTGTACGCAGGTATCATTATCCCTGTTTCTCAGATGAGAAAATAGAGGCTAAGAAAATCTAAGTAATTAATTCAGGGTCCCATAGTTGGTAAATAGTAAAACAAGACTGGTAAAATTCTTATCCAGTATACCATTCTGTGTTTCCCAAGTTAGAGAGTATGTATGTGTCAATTTCAGGTTGCCAAACCAAATATGCAGTCAGTCTGCTTGACAGGTGTGCTCTTGCAGTGGAAAAAGGGCCTGCAAGCTTGATAATAGTATTAAGGGACTTGATTCTTGGTCTGTCCACTAGACTGTATTTTGACCTCAATTTAGTTTTTTAATAGGTTTTTGTACCAAGAGAAAATGTACTTTGGCCAGACCATATATCATGGTTGTTAAAAGCAAGGGCTTTTAAGTTAGATTGGGTGCTGACTGTGTGACCTTGGGCAAATTACTTACCATATCTGATCTGCCTCACCTGTCTCCTCTGTGAATAGTATATGATAATAGTTTGAGTCTCATAGAGGTCCTGGGAAGACAAAGTGAAGCAATGATTGTAAAGCACTTACCACAGTGTCTAACACATGGTAAGCACTAACTAAATAGTAGCTGCTGTCAGTATTGTTGGAATTATTATTATCAATTAATTTGGTAAGATCTCAACAATACTTTATAATTGATGGGTGCTTAAAATTTTCAAAACCACATTTTACTTCCTCTGTGATGGCTATAATGTAGATAGGACAAATGTATCTTATGACCTATTGTACCATAAATTAGTTTTCCCAGGTTCTTGTCTCTCCTAGATGACTTAATAATTCAGTTAGAAAGTGGTTATTATCAGAATTTATAGGAAATATTGTTTGTATATAGAATTAATTATACAAACTGCTTTTTATAGATACTGAAAATGAGGCAAGAAAAAAATATTTGAAAGTGAGTTGTCAGAAGAGAAAGAGAGAAGAAAGCAATTGCCATCTGATCTGTTCAGAAGGCTGTGAAAATTGAAAGTGAGGTATTTTGCCATTCAGACATTCTACATTTGGGATTTCATATTACCATTTATCTAACTCATGCTTATAGTAATAATACTGGAATGGCAGAAAGGAGTCTACAAGAAGAATAGGCCAGAATGTTTAAAACAAAAAATATGTGGCAGGACCATTTCAGGATTTTTTTGAAAAAGAAATATTTTCTATTTTATGGGAAAATAGTCTTATTTGATACTACTAAATATCTTCATTTCTTAATCAGGTATTGCAAAAATCAAAGTCAGAACTTACATGCCTTTATAATGAAACTCAAAGTCTTCGAGGGGCAACAGAAGATAAAGACCTTTTTTTTTTGGTAGCATATGAGCTACTACAAAGAGAGAACTCTGAATTAGAAACAAAGGTGAGACTTAATTAATAAGTATTTAAATGTTTGATGTTTAACATCTTTTATGAAAATAGGATAGAAGGAAATTAGTTTTCAGTAAGAAATGACTTAGAAATGGAATTTTTTTTATTTTTATAGAATAAATCACCATATAGCATGGGTTACAAGTCAATCTCTATTTCAGGATAAATATTCAGAAACCAGTACTTGGCCCTTAGGATCAATCTATGAATTTTTTACTTTAAATGAACTTCCAGCCAACTTAATCTCTGGAGTGCATACTTTAATGTAAAAGGTTTACTTAAACATCTTCAACTTTAAAACTTAGAATCAAAGCATCTTTTTCACTTATACTTAGTAGTAATGGCCATACATAGATGTAAGAAAATGTTTATGTGTCCTGACTCTAGTTTGTTCTGAAGTTTAAAAATGGTTGGCAGAACCAGGTCTAGTTCAATATCAAATGGAGAGGTTCCCTGTAATCTAATCTCTAGGATCTGAAGGAGAGTTGATGCTTGTGATTTGTGGTGTTGGCGAAGAATACTGAAAGTATCATGGACTACCAGATGAACAAACAAATCTGTCCTAGAAGAAGTACAGCTGAATGCTCGTTGGAAGCAAGAGTGGTCAGACTTCATTTCATCTACTACTTTGGTCATGTTGTCAGAAGGGACCATTCCCTGGAGAAGGATAGCATGCTTGGTAAAGTGGAGGGTCAATGAAAAAGGGGAAGGCCCTCAATGAGACTGATTGACACAGTAGCTGCAATGATGGTCTCAGGTATAGCAAGGATTGTGAGGCTGGCACAGGACTGGGCAGTGTTTCATTCTGTGGTACGTAGTATCACTATGAGTTGGAGCCAACTTGATGGCACCTAACAACAATACATATTAGGTTATCACCATCTTCTCCCAGCTGAAAATCCTTCCTTCAGTCATTCTTTTTGGCTAGATTTATGGTAAGAAGGAATGAAGACTTAAACACACAGTTAAAATATATTGGATTACTGTACTGGCAAAACTGAATATCCATTTACAGAAAAGTAAAACAATATCCATGCCATACACAAAAACTAGCTCAAAACAGAAAACCTAAAACTATAAAGATTACATTTTTTAAAAAATTAGGGAAAAGATAAGGGCCTGCTACATGGCATAAATAGAATACCAGACATAGCTAAAAATATACAAACAGCAGAAGATAAACAAATTAACTGGAATTGCCTAAAAATTAAGCACTTATGTTTATCAAAAGATTTCTCAAAAGAGTAAGGGAAGAACCTAGAGACTGAGAAAAAAATTTTGGCTATGACATATCTGACAATGGTCTAATCTCTAAAAGTTACAGAAAATGTATAAAAAATTTAAATTTATAGAAAACTTCAGCACTTCAACAACAAAAAGACAATCCAATTAAAAAATAGGCAGAGGTCATGAACAGACTCTTCACCAAAGAAGATATTCAGGTGGCCAACAAACACACATAAAGATGCTCCTGATTATTGGCCATTAAAACAAAACAAAAAAAACCCTTCTGGTTGGCGGTAATATGCCTTAGGCACTATGCCACCAGAGCTCCCTATTGGCCATTAGAGAAATGCAAATCAAAACTACAATTAAATACCATCTCACTCCTATAGTAATGGCACTGATCAAAAACAGAACAACAAATGCTGGCTGTGGGGGAGATTGGAAGTCATACATTACTAGTGGAACTGCAGAATGATACAACCACTGTGGAAAATTATATGGTGCTTCCTTAAAAAGCTAGAAATAGAAATACCATATGATTCAGCAGCAATCCCACTTCTAAGAGAGAAAAAAGAGCTGTGACATGAATAGACAACAGCAGACCCATGTTCATCACAGCATTATTCACGGTAACAAAAAGATGGAAACAACGTAAGTGTCTATCAGTGGATGAATGGATAAACATACTGTGGCCTATGTCCAATGAAATAGTACACAATGATAAAGAATAATGATGAATCTGTGAAACGTTTCACAGTATGAATGAATCTGGAGGACATTATGCTGAGTGAAATAAGTCAAACACAAAAGGGCAATTACTAGATGAGACCCATTATAAAAAGCCAAACATAGGTTTACACAGAGAAAGGAACATTCTCTGAGGTTACTAAGAAATTGGCAAGGTGCTTATGAGGAACCTGTACACAGACCAAGAGGCAGTTGTTCTATTAAAACAAGGGAATGCTGCTTAAAATCAGGAAATGTGTATGTCAGAGTTGTGTCCTTTCACCATGCTTGTTTAATTGTATGCTGAGCAAATAATCTGAGAAGCTGGGCTATGTGAAGAAGAACACAGCATCAGGACTGGAGGAAGACTCATTAACAACTGCAATATACAGATGACACAGCCTTGCTTGCTGAAAGTGAAGAAGACTTGAAGCAGTTTCTGATAAAGATATTTACTGATGAAGACTACAGCCTGCAGCATGGATAGCACCTCAACATTAAAAAAATAATAATAAAAAAAGTAATAATAACAAAAGTCCTCACAACTGGACCAATAAGCAACATCATGATAAATGGCAAAAAGAAAAGAAGAAGTCGTCAAGGATCTCATTTTACTTGGATCCATAATCAAGGTCCATGGAAGCAGCAGTCAGGAAATCAAATGACATATTGCATTGGGCAATTCTGCTCCAAAAGAACTCTGTAAAACGTTAAAGAGCAAAGATGTTACTTTGAAGAGCAATGTGTGCTTGACCCAAGCCATGGTATTTTCAGTAGCCTCATATGCACGTGAAAGATGGACAATGAATAAGGAAGACCAAAGAAGAATTGATGTATTTGAATTGTGGTGTTAGCAAAGAATATTGAATATACTACAGACTGCCTGACTGCTAACCAGAAGGCTGGCAGTTCAAACTCACCAGCCTCTCCGTGGAAGGAAGATTGGGCAGTCTATTTACATAGTGATACTGCCTTGGAAACCCAAGGAAGGGTCGCTGTGAATCGGATCCGACTCAGTGGCAGTGAGTTTAGAGAATGGACTGCCAGAAGAATAAATGAACTGTCTTGGAGGAGGTGCAGCCTTAGAAGTGAGAATGGCCAGACATCATCTCTCATATTTTGGTCACGTTATCCAGAGGGACTAGTCCCTGGAGCAGGACATCATGGTTGGTAAAGTAGAGGGTCAGCAGAAAAGGGGAAGACCCTTGATGAGATGCATTGACACAATGGCTGCGACAGTGGGCTCAAGCATGGCAACAACTGTGAGAATGGTGCAGGACCAGAAAGTGTTTTGTTCTGTTGTCCACAGGGTTGCTGTGAGTCAGAACCAACTGCCAGCACCCTAACAACAACAATCAGATAGTAGACAAAAGTTAGTTCTGGTAAAGGGAAAGGTAGTACACAATATGGGGGAAGTCAGTGCAATGTGATGAAGATAAAGGAAGATGTTGAGAGGTATGCAAGAATAAACAACTATGATAAATGCTATAACATTTACACATCCTCCAACAGCAATAATAACTAAAAATAATAACAATAATTTGTGAATAGCTACATAGGTAAATATATATACTAAATAAATGAGGGAGGTCATTCAGGAGTATACCTGTGTACTTATACAGGTATGGTGGTGGATATTTCTACATACATATTTATAAATGCTGCACATACAAGTATATAATAGAGCACATAACTGTAACACAGTTACAGAAACTGCTTAGACATTGGGACTGAACCACTGGACTTGAAGGTGAAGGACCACAGTCTTAGGACATCTAGATCAATGGAAAAATACAGTTCATAAAAAACTAAAATTCATAAAATTCTACATCCTAGTCTGGTGATCAGCATTTGGCATCTTAAAAGCTTGCAAGCAGCCATCTAAGAAGCAACTATTGATCTCTTTCCACCTGGGGCAAAGGAGAATGACAAAAAAAATGAAGACTTAAGGAAGCAATTAGTCCAAAAAATTAATGACCCACATGAACGACAGCCTCCTCTAAACTGAGACCTGAGACCAGAAGAATTGAATGGTGCCCGGCTTCCACCACTGACCACTCTGCTTAAGACCACAATAAGAGGTCCTGGTTAGAAGGGGAAAAAACGTAGACAAAATTCAGATTTAAAGAGAGAGAGAGAAAGAGAGAGAGAGAGGAGAGAGAGGCAGAGACAGAGAGACTGACTAGAGAAATACCTAAGATACCCTGAGATAACCTTCTAACTTGAAACTGAAGACATTCCCAGAGGCCACCTTTTAGCTAAATAATAGATGGACCTATAAAATAAACAGTAGCCCCAGTGAAGAATGTACTCCTAACTTAGAACAATCAACTATTCAAGACCAAAAGGGCAACATTTGCCCAAAACTAAAAATGAGAAGACAGAGAAAGACAGGGAAACCAGTCAAACAATAATGGGAACCCAAGGAGGAAATAGGGAGAGTGCTGATATATTACAGGGATTACATCCAATGTCATGAAACAATTTGTATATGAATTATTGATTGGAAAACTAATTTGGTATATAAACTTTCACATAACACACAATAAAATGTTCTATATGTTTATGTATTTTGCATTTTAACTCCAAGTATGAGGCGGAAGATTAAGTCAAGTTTTAATTTATCCTATATGTTGTTACCCTGGAAAACAGTAGTTGCTAAGGGATTGAGACATGGATCATGTGATGTAGAAAGCAGAGAGGATGTGAAGTAGAAAGGGAAAAGTCCAACACAATGCTTTCTGCCTGGGAGAGTAGATATATAAGGTCCAGCCCACAACTAACCTTTGCTTGTGGGACCTTGTCAACAAGATGTATTATTACTCTGTCTACTTCCATAGTGTTACTGCCTTTGAAACCCAAGGAGGGGTCACTAGGAGTCAGGTCTGACTTGAAGGCACATAACAACAACTACAGCAACAACAGTTAAAGGACTTCATCTTTTTTTTTTTCTTTTTTATTGTGATGTGGGTGCAAATTTACAAAGCAGATTTGTTTTACACATAACAGTTCATGCACATTTGGTTTCATGGCCCAGAT